TGGAAGGCTGAGTCAACCCTGAGCCGGTGAGATTTGAACCGCTGACCTGCTGATCTAGCAGTAGCCTGCAGTGCTGCATTTAACCACTGCGACATAATACCACTAGCTAAGGCAACGCTGCTGAAGGCACCAAACTGAGAATGGCAGCACTCCAATTCTTCCCCACAATCAACCTGCTGTCAGAAGTGTGGGACACTTACTTTGACAAATTTGAGTGTTTCCTACTGGCAAATAACATAGCAGATGTCCCCATTGACAGAAAGCAGGTATATTTTTTAACATTTTGTGGCACTGATGTATTTGAGATAGCCAGAAATTTGGTAGCCCCAATGAAGGTATGTTCAGTGCCATGGGAGACACAAATAGCTCTGGATGAAGCCCGCACCTCAGAGCTGTCAAATAGATCGGCCACAGAGATTCAACAAATGAATAATTCTGCTGGGACTGCTAAAACTGAGACAATCCACCACGAAGAAATTAAGGAGAATGAGGTAGCCTCTGACAGGAAGGGTGATATTCATAGCTTGAATCCAGTCAAGGGAAAGAAAATTACCTCAGAAAAAGTGTTCATGACTAATGGGTGCCTAAGCTGTGGGGGAAGCCATCTAAGGTCCAGCTGCCATTTCAAGAACACATCCCATCTGTGCATTGGTATTGCCAAAGGGGAAGATTGTTTTAAGCCTCTCTGAATGTATTATTGGTCAGGCCAATGTAGATTTGAAGAAAAAGATTTTCCTCACAGTGTTGCTGGAAGGAAAGCCATGCAAATTAAAACTGGATACAGGTTCTGCTATGTCAATAGTGTCGTGGAGCACACTTAAACAGGTGGTTGCACACATCTCCAAATGGAGACTAACTCATTCCCGTCTTAAACTGAGGGATCATCAAGGAAATAGCATCTCTATTATTGGCACTGGAAAATTCAGGGTCCAATTCCAAAGTTTTCTTGGACATCTTCCCCTTATGGTTGTGGAAGGTAGCCTACCCAGTCTCCTTGTTTTAGATTGGTTTGGGGCATTAAGTGTTAGCATTTCAGGTATCCACACGATCGCTGAACCTGCCATGTCAATGCTTTCCAAGGAATTTGCCTCTGTGTTTGAAGACAGCCTTGCTGAGTATGTGGGCACCCCTATTTCTTTTCAACTTGACCCAGACATCACACCTATCTGGTGTAAACCAAGATTGGTCCCATTTTCCCTTAGACCTAAAGTGGACACTGAAATTGATAAGTTGCTGAAGCAAGGGGTATTAGAACTGGTAGATCACACCCACTGGGGCACCTCCATTGTAACACACATAAAACCTGATGAGTCTGTCAGATCGTGTGCAGATTACAAATGCACAATTAATTTAGCGTTATAGCAAAGCGCCTACCGGTGCCGGTGCTTCAGCATCTGCAGCATACCTTGGGAAGTGGAAAATATTTGCTAAGCTGGATTTGGCCCAGGTGTACCAGCAACTGCCTGTGGATAAGGAAACAGTGGAAGCTCACACTATCGTGACTCATAGAAGGACATTTAAGTGCCATAGACTGCAATTTGATGTAAGTGTGGCACCAGGTGTATTTCAATGCCTTATGGAATGTATTCTCCAGGGTATTCTGGGTGTTGTTCCTTACAACATCCTGGTATCTGTCCAAAATTATGAGGAACTAATGGACAGATTGAGGATACAGCCCTAATTCTCCCTTAATGTGATCATTAAGTGTCGACATAAATTGTTAACTGGATTACTGCCTCCTCAGAATAATGGGATGGGGAGAGGACACAGGCTTCCAAATACACCCAGACATACTGGGCTTGGTCTTTATCCCATAGGGGAGGACATTGTATGTATTGTTGTTTCCCAAGATTTGAGATCCATTCCTGTAGCCCTCTTTGTTGTCTCAGGAATGTTCATACTTGTTTTTGATGTTTTGTACCACTAAACATGAATATTATTCATTTGTATTTTTCTAATGTTATTGTTAGGAATACAATGATCCCAATATGTAAATATTTCAGGTAGTCAACAGTTACTCTGCTGACCAAAGGATTGGACTTTGGACTTTTCAGGTCATCTTTCACTTACAATCAGAATTGGACCCAAAATTTGAGTTGTTGAGTGAAGCAGTTTTTAAGCAAACACCATGTCACCACTTTGCTCAATAAAATAATCCTAATTCTCCTAGTTTTGAACATTAAGTGAGTAAAGAAATTCCGAGCCTCCTTGGAATAACAGGACGTGGAGAGAACACAGGCTACACCCAAGCATACTGGGCTTGGTCCTTATTCCACAGAGGAGAACACTGGTGTGTACTATTGTTTCCCAAGGTTTGAGATCCATTCTATATCCCTCTTTCTCCTCTCAGGAACATTCATATTTGCTTTTTGATGTTTTTGTACCACTAAACATGAAAATTATACATCTTTATTTTTCTAATGTTATTTTTAAGAATATAAATATCCCAACATTTATGTGCCTAATATTTCTGGTAGTCTATGGTTATATATAAAGTTTGTCTTTTTAATTTTAAAAAATATGCCTGAAATTACTATGTTGACCAAAGGATTAAGTCAATTCCTTCTTCATCCAGTTTTTCAACCACAGAAATAAGGGAGTTTCTTGACTAGTTGCTGAAGCATTTTTACAAAAATGAATTATACATAAATTAACACTTTACATCCTGTTTTCCATTCAAATTCTATTAGATTCAGTTGCAGCTCCAAGATGGACATGACTGCTGGTTGACCAGAAGAATGACGCTGAGAGTGATAGTAAGTTCCTCATACTTGAGAGACCGCCTNCCCATACTGGAACATGTTTGAATTGCTTTCTCCTCTTTTAATATATCTAAAGATTTTAATTGTAGTGCCCCTTCCAGACATACTTTTGAAGAAGTAAATTAAAAAAAAACTTTTTGCCCTCTCACAGAAGCACTCTGTAGGCCTCTCAAACCTACTGCATGCCCCCTTTTTGTGAAAGAGGAGATGCAGAGAGTTTGAAATGGCTTCAAGGGAGAGCAAAAATATGATGCAAGGGGGGGATGTTGAGAGGCAAAAAACAGATCCATTTTTTGCAAAAAAAGAGGAGCATGCAGAGAGTATGAGAAGCCTGTAGAGTTCTCCTGGGGACTGGAGAGGGCAATAAATGAGCAGAAAATGCAATGTTTTTGCAGAAAATGACCAAAAACCAGTCCGTCTTTTGTGAAAATGAGCTCCTTTCTTTGCAAATAACAGGTATTGCAGAGGGTTTGGAAGGCCTACAGAGAGCTCCTGGGGGGCTTGGAAAGGGAAAAACAACCCCATTCATGTGAATATCGGGACCATTTTTCGCTCAGCCCGCAGGAGCACTTTGGAGGCCCCCCAAGCCCTCTGCGTATCCATTTTTGCAAAAAATGGGATGTGTGGAGGTGGTATTTTGTGAGGCCAAAAATGTTGTATTCAGTGTATAAGACGCATCCAGATTTTCACCCTCTTTTTTTGAGGGGGGGGGGAAAGGTGCGTATTATGCTCAGAAAAATACCGTAGTTATTAATCTGCAGGTTTATGCAATATACATGGATATATCTGAGATTCTGCTTGCCCAATCAAATACTATCATTACTTTCCTATATGGAGTCCATGGCATAAATGGCCAAATAAGTACATTAACTTAGTTTCTCCAGCTTTTTCAGCTATTCTAATTCAGGGATGTCAAAGTTGATTTCATTGAGAGCCTCATCAGGGGTGTGTTTGGCCTTGGGCAAATGGGAGTGGGCTGTATCCGGGCAGGCATGGCCAGCTGAACATCAGTCGTGTTGGGCTTCCCTGTGAAAAAAAGGGTTTCAAGCTCTATTTTCAGCTGTTATAGTGTTGCAACCCTCTACCAGCAAAAATGGAGCTCGGGGTGGACCGCATGCATCCCTCACAAGCTTTTTTCTTTGCTGGCAGAAGCACTGTGGGCTGGTCTTTTGCTATTTCTAGGGTGGCTCCACAGGCCAGAGCTAAGTATCCCGCATGCCAGTTTGCAGCCAAGTGCAGTCTGCCCATCCCATTTTTAGAATTACTATTATTATGCCAAGTATTCTGTGATTGTGAATTCTGTTTCTTAATTGCATACATTTGTATTAATATCTACATATTCAGCTATTTCTGTACCTAATTATTGCAAAATGTGTTATGTCTTCTAGGTATTAATTATCCTACCCAGTTAAGGTTATTTGTAAATTTGACAAGCACTCTTCATCTAAGTCAGATGATGTAGAACTCAGGGCCTGGGAGCAGTATTTAGTCCATAGGGTTCTTAGATCTGGTCCAAGGGACCACCCTGGAACTAGTGAAGGATGGCCTGCAGCTCCTCTGCCAGTGAAAATGGAGTTCGGGAGGGCAGCGCAGAGTTCTCCAAGGCACTGTTTTCACTGGCAGAGGGTTGCAGGAGACCATTGGAGCCAAAAACAAAGCATGTGAGGACCCATTTTAGCTGGCAGAGTTCTTGGGCCACCACAGATGCCCCCTGACAGAAGGGATGTTGAGCTGGCCACACCCATCCTGGCCCCAAAAGGTCAAAAAGAATCCTAATGCGGCCCTCACATAAATCAAGTTTGACACCCTGATCTAAGTCATTAATACATTAAAAAGTACAGGAGTCTTAATTAAATCTTGTATATTCCTGCTCAAAATTTCACTCAACTTTGATGAGTGATGGACAATTTTTAAGTTGGTAGTGCAGCCAATTAGTCTCTTTGCAGACTATACATTTGTAATTTGCTAGTCAGAATGAAATACTCTGTCAGCTGCTTTGTACCAATATCAAGATATATTAGTTTTATAAAATTCTTACAGTCTACTGTCTGAAAAAAATAAATAAGACAAGCCAGGTTTCTTGTAGTTATTTTTAATGATAAATCTCTTCATGATTACAATATAGTATGTAGTCTAAAAATTCCTGAGTATGGAAGTCAGAGTGACTGGTTTATATTTCTTGTATTTTCCTTTTCTTCCTTTTTGAAAATCGGAATAACAGTAGATCTCATCAAGTCACTTGCAGTTCACTGGGATTTCTTGGAAAATACTGGTTATCATGGTTAGGACACTGGATTGGAGGTTAGCAAACCTGCATTTGAGAGCAGGAACATGAAGGTGCCCCCAACTGGGTGTCCCCTGGCCAATAGTGATCTCTTCAACTAACTTCTTCAACAAGTGTGACGTGACAAGGATTATTCGAACATAATTCATAAGAGGGTGGAATGATCATCATATAATGCTTTGATATTTTCAAATGAAATTTATTCTGATGTTGGGAATTTAAACACATTGAAATTAACCAATATTCTTTCCCATCTCAATCTTCCCCCTTCATTTATTTTAACAAAATGCCTCAGAGAAAACTACACATATAATATCTAAACATATATATATTTTGTACACAGATAATTGTTGTTATATCACTGTTTTTCTTTGTTATGAGTCTCAAAGCATTGCCTAAGAGCATGCAAATGTTTCCTGAGATTTCCTGGTGTTTTTCGCGTAAAGCCTTTATTGCCCTTTGAGTTTGTTGGTGAGATGGAGTTGCATGGGGTGGGGTGCGGAAAAGAAAGAAAAAAGGTGATATAATTAGATTTATGCTTCAGGAATTATAGAGAGAACATTTCAGAACTAAAAATTATTGACTGTTCTATAGAAGATATTTAAACATATTATATGTAAAAATCCAATTTATGACAAAGATTTACATAATCAGATAAATCACATTTTTCCTTTGGGTTAAATTGTATGGTGCATTTACAGTGTAGAACTACTACTTTGCCTACATTCAGTAGTATAATTAAAAAAACAAAATAGAACCTGGATGCCTTTCATTTAATTTGCTCCTTACTTGTTGNCCACTTAATAAAACTCCTTTAAAAATGAGCATTGGTTATAAACATTACATTCTACAGAGCTGAAGAAGCTTCTTGGATGAGAAGTCAAAAGTCTTGAAAGAAAAACCAGAAAGTCCAGTTGCCCCTTGAAAAAGCACCTTTCTGACTTGACATTCATAAGAAATATAAAGAAGAGAGGGAGGAGAAATGTGAGTGGAATCATCCATTTTAGAAACAACTTGTTGGTTATTGTGTACAGAGGACAATTCTGGATACCTTTTCTTCCTCTGCTGATACCCAACAGTTACTAGGTGTGAAAACCAACATAGGTTACACAATGTTGTAAAAAGAATATGTGTAACTTGCCCCTGATTTCTTAATAAATGTTTAGGTGTGGCCTTTCTATTATTTTGATCTTCTTTCTGATAGTCTTGATTTAGTGAGGAGATTATTTATTTGATTGGATGAAATATTCATGTGTTCTTCTTCCACAATATATTGTTGATATTGAGTTTTGTTGTGTAGCACTAAAAAATGTTGATCCCTTCTCCCAAGGGATTACTTATGCTGTAAGTAAACCAAGGATTACACTACCATCTAGATTCCTCAGATTGTGTTCTACAAACAAATTCTAGATCCCAATTCATATTTTTACATTTTGTATAGTGTAATAGGACATTCTGGTGGGGCATGGCATGTTCCAAATACTTACTATATTTTTCAGACTAGAAGACACATCAGATTATAAAACACACCCAAATTTTTAAGAGGTAAATTTTTAAAAAAAGTTTTTGCCCTTCCACAGGAGCACTCTGTAGGCCTCCCAAATCCTCTGCATGCCCCCTTTTTGTGAAAAAGGGACATGCAGAGAGTTTGAGAGGCCTGAAAAGGGTTCCAGGAGACCAGGGAGGGAAAAAATATGATTGGAAGGGGGGGGGGATTGGGAGGCGAAAAATGGGGCCATTTTTTTTTGCAAAAAAAGTAGCATGCAGAGAGCGTTAGAGGCCTGTAGAGTTCTTCTGGGAGCTGGAGAAATGAGCAAAAATCGTAATGTTTTTGCAGAAAATGGGTAAAAAACAGTTCATTTTCTGTGAAAAGGGGCAAAAAAAGGTTCACGCAAAGAGTTTGGAAGGCCTACAGAATGCTCTTGGTGTCTTCTACTCTTAAAAATGTTGTAGTTATTAATTTACAGGTTTATGCAATATCCATGGATATATCTGAGATTCTGCTTGTCAAATCAAATCCTACCATTACCTTTTAATACTTTTTCACAGTTATTCTAATTCAGGGATGTCAAACTCAATTTCATTGAGGGCTGATGAAGGGTTGTGTTTGACCTCAGAGGAATGGGAGTGGGCAGTGGCTAGGGGGGGAATGGCGAGCTCAATCTCACTGATGTTGGGGAGTGCTCTGAGTGCTCTGCCAGAGAAAATGGTGTCCAAGCTCTGTTTCCAGCTCTGATGGCTTCCTGCAACCCTCCCTGACAGCAAAAATGGAGCTCAGGATGGACCACTTGCGGGTGTCTTAAGCTTTGTTTTGGCTGGCAGAAGCACTGTGAGATGGTCCTTTGCTGTTTCCAGGGTGGAAACTTTTTCTTGTAATTTTGAGGATGGGGTGCTTGTGGGTGGGGTGGGCGTTGCCACCTCGACATCACACATGTCAGGGTCCGGAGCAGTTTGCCAGAGAAAATGGGGTCCTGAGTTCTGATTTTGGCTGCCATGGCCTTGTGCAACCTTTTGCCAGAAAAAATGAAACTCAGCAGGGGGAATGCACTGCCCTCATGAGCTGTGTTTCCAGCTGCAATGGCCTCCTGCAACCCTCTGCCCACAAAAATGGTGCTTGTGGGGACCCCTAGCAGGCGTTTCAAGCTCTGTTTTCACTGTCAGAAGCACCGCGGCTCGTCCTTTGCTGTTCCCAGGGTGACTCCATGGGTCAGATCTAAGCATCCGGTGATCCAGCTCCAGCTCCCGGGTCTTGAGTTTGACACCCTGTTCTAATCAATTATTGCTGAAACATTGTAAACTTTGTAAAAAAGATTTAATAATTTTAGACATTCTTAGCACAACTTTTCATCATTTTTCCCGCGTCCCGCCCGGTTCTCAAAACCCCCCACTTTATTTTGGGGTTCGCTGGCTCCCCCGCCCATCAGCTGCCACTAGCTCGCTCGTTAGTTCCCCCATCTATTTCTAAAAATCTAAGCCAGCCCAGCCTGCCGCTCACTGATTGGCCTGGACTCCAGCCAATCAGTGAGCTGGCTGGGATGGAAAACGCGGCGTACTTAAAGTTTTCCATCCCAGCCAGTTCACTGATTGGCTGGAGTCCGCTTAGCATGCCGCATGAGTCGCAGGAGTCTCCATTTCATTTCGCCTTCGCAGCCGTTTGCTTTGTTTTGCTGCTTCACTGGTGAGTAAACTGGGAATTAGTAACCTGTTAGTGAAACAGCTGCTGCCGCCATCCTCCCCTTCCCTGTGTGCGAGAAAGGTGCCCACTTGCCAAGCACCGCCACACTGGTTCCTTCGTGCCCCTCCCACCCCTCTGCCTCCTCAGACCTCCACGCAAGAGTGGCAGAGCGAACGAGCGGCCACGGCCGTCATTTTAAATGATGCTCCGCTCATCCCGCTCTGAGCTGGGAAAGGGGCACTTTGGCAGGGCTTCCACAGCACCCCTAAGGACCGTAGCGCGAAGTCGTCGTCGGCGGCTGCTGCTGCCGCTGCTGAGGGCCTTTAGTAACCTGCGTAGGGTTAGTGAAACAGCTGCCGCCGCCCTCCTCCCCTTCCCTGTGTGCGAGAAAGGCGCCCGCTCGCCAGCCCACACCAGCCCACTAACCCTTGGGCTCCGGGGGCAGCACTTTCCCAGCTCCGCCGCTGCCACGCTGCTTCCTTCGTGCCCTGCGGAGTTTTCCCTGTGTCTGCCAGGTCGCGCCCATCCTGTGTGCGAGAAACTCCGCAGGGCACGAAGGAAGGCGCTGGGGAAGTGCTGCCCCAGGAGCCCAAGGGTGGGCAGGCGGACTGGCGAGTGGGCGCCTTTCCCTGTGTCTCCCTGGTTGCACCCGTCCTGTGTGCGAGAAAGGCGCCCGCTCGCCAGCCCGCGCCATCCCGCTCATCCTTGGGCTCCGGGGGCAGCGCCTTCCCAGCTCTGCTGCTGCCGCGCTGCTTCCTTCGCACCCTGCGGAGTTTTCCCTGTGTCTGCCAGGTCATGCCCAGCCCCTCTCAAAAGGATTCGTCCTGCTTCCTCTGCTTCTTCTTCTTCCACCTCCTCCTCCTCCCCGTCCATGGTGGAAGCCACAGGATTGGGCAGCAGAGAGAGAGAGAGACAGAGAGAGAGAGAGAGAGAGAGAGAGAGAGAGAGAGAGAGAGAGAGAGAGTGAGTTCCGTCCCGCGAGGAGATGCCCACCGAGCTGCAGGTCCCCCCGCCGCCTTCTTTCCCTCATGGTTGCTTCCCTTCTTTCAACTCGTGGTCGCTTCCCACCACTGGCTGCGCCTCGCTTCCCACCATCCCGCCATCGCCCAGCCGCCACCGCCGCCTCCCCTTCCTCCCTCCCTCCCCCTCGGACTCCTCTTCCAGCCCGCACCGCCTCGGCTTGGAAGGGCCGGGAGAGAGAGAGAGAGGGAGAGAGAACGAGGGAATCTCTCAGGGCTCGCCGGAGCGCAGCTCCTTTCTCAGAGCGAGGGTGGCGCGGGGAAGACAATCCGCCAGAGGAACCTTCCGAAGTAGAGGCGGCGGTGGCAGCTGGGCATGCGCTGCTCTTTCCCTCCGCGCCCTTGTCCTCTCTGTTCCCAAGGAGCCCCGTCCTCTCCTCCTCCCTCGGTCCTTCCTGCGGCCGCCTCGCCAAAATCTCGCTCTCCCTCCCCCCGCTTTGGCCGTTGCTGGCCATCGCCCAGCCGCCGCAGCCGACCCGCCTTCCTCCCTCCCTCCCCCTCAGACTCCTTTTCCCGCCCCCGCCGCCTCGGCTTGGAAGGGCCAGGAGAGCGAGAGAGACAGAGAGAACGGGGGAATCTCTCAGGGCTCGCCAGAGCGCTGCTCCTTTCCCAGAGCAGAGAGAGAGAGAAAGAAAGAAGGGGAGAGAGAAAACTGGGCGCCCGAGCCCTATGCAGCGGGGAAAGAGAGGTCGCCACCCGAGGCTGCGACAGGTTTTGCGATTTTGACAGATGCCCATTCCCCTCCCCGCACAGCTCCCTTCTAGGAGAGCTATGTAGATCCCTTCTTCTTTTCCTTCCCCCTCTCTCCTTCCTTCCTCTCCTTCCCACTCCTTGCAAATGGCGACGGCGAAATCATAGTGATCCGAAGGGTTTGATGGCTGGCACAATGAAGGTCTTCTTCATCTCCTTGACCTCCGCAGCGTCCCTCATTTTCCTCCCCTCCCCTCCCCTCCCCCACCCGCAGAGCCTCATCCCCTCCCTCCCCTCCCCCTACAAGGGATCTACAACCCATGCGGGCTATCTTTTGCGGGGAGAAGAAGAAGCGTGCCGAGTCCTAAGACACTGGCGATCTGGGGCTTCTGTAAACAGGAACTGGGCTTTGGGGGAGGGGGGATGTGCAAAGCCCCATCCTCTAATGCTTCCGGCTCTTCTAAAGAAGGGGGTGGGGGGCTTGTGCAGACCCCTCCCCCTATTCCCGCATCTCCTTGCAGGAATCCCCAATCGCCAGGGGCATCGGACTCCAAATCCCATCGTAGCAGCCCC